TCACAAACCCCAGGAGGGGTGAATCAAAGACTTACAGAAAGCAAATGAATAAAATCAGAAGGGGACAGCTAAAAGTGTCAGCTAAGATATCATGGCTGGTTAGTAGGACCTGCAGACTGTAAGCTATTTTAAGAAAGCTACTAATGGAAGAAGAACCAAATCTAGAGCAACTTCTCTTCAGGATGTAAATGTGATTCACAGCCTCAAAGTCACATTAGAACCGGCTGTTATTCCACATGAGTTAATGAAGCCACATGTGGCTGGGGATAGAGAGGAGGATCATTTGAAAAGCTTGAAATAACTGGTATTGAAATTAGGATGCCAGGAAACCCAAGACACTGTCAGTGGATGCATCAAAAGAGAGAATAAGGGCAATATCAATGCAATATTGATGTGACTGATGCATCACAGTTTCTAATAGAAATTAAATCACATCAAAAACAACCACATTCAAGTACAAAAGGAAACCCTGGTGGCACTTTTCAGATGAGGCATTTTATCATTATGGTGAATAGAAAAGAAGTTGAAGTGCTATAGAACTGGATCAAAACCTTGGAGATAGTACTGATGACTCTTGATACAAATAAGCCCAGTAGGATAAAACATTTATTATTGCAGTTATGGGACGGCATTTAAGAAACTGCAGGGGGAAATGACTTTTTTGTTCTTTTCTTTTCAACACAGAAATTGTATAAAACATCTTGGGAACAGACAAGGGCATCTGGCTATGATTTTAGGATTGACGCCATCCCATTCCAGACAGCAAAGGCTTCAAGAGAGATTGCCAGTGATGTAAGAATTGTTCTGTTTCAAACACTTCCCAACCCTCTTCCCAAGCCACCCCATCCTGCAAAAATGGGTGAAGTCTGACATGAATGAACATTATTCTGGTATGGAAAATTGGTGATCCAATGAAACAAAGTGCTGGTTAAGTGCAAAGATTTCCAACTAAAGTCTACCATTAATAATGTCCAATACCAGGCTGTTCTTATGTGCCAAGAGCTCTTCTTGGGAAGAAGACATATTATGATTTAATCAAATAATATAGATACTAGGCTATGAATAGTTAAAGCATGGTCTAGGATAAAGTGGGTTATCTTTGAACACAGAAGACCACAGCTGGCAAGAAAGCTAAAGATGGAGGAGCTTCATTGGTTGAGCTCTGTATTGTGTGTACCCAAGAGTGCAACAGTAGGAGGATCTCTGATTACTTTTGAGAGATGAGCATTTTGGGCCCCCTAAGTCTTTCCACTCCTTTAAAAATGAGCACAAAAGTAATTCTTCTAAAGTGTCTTGTTAGATTAGGAGATGTGGTTTGATATCAAACAAACCCTCAGTCTTTGTGCACTACAGGAAACATGATTGATAGGCAGAGGAGGATAAGTTATTTCATAATAGAATTTGAAGGTAATTTGAATGTGAAAATGAGATTTTCCTCTGTACTTCCTGCAGTACAAATACAGAGAAGCCTTCCTGAGAGACAGAGGCCAGCAGATTGGATTCCTCAGTGCAAATGATGATCCCAAAATCAGACATGTCCTCAGAGTGGGGAAACTCCAGAGCGACCTCCAGTACAGGAGTGATTGTGCCCTAAACATGGCACAGTTCCAGAGTCACCTCAACCAGCCAGGATTCCTCCATGCCAAGAGAAGCCAGCAGCTTGCAAGCAATGTTAACTACAGGCAGCCCTTGCACCAATACACTTGTGACCCTGAGCAGCTAAATGTGAAACACGCAAAGCAGGCCTACAAGCTGCAGAGTGATGTAAGTGTGGCTGAGTGACATGGTCCTCCCCTGGGCTGGGGGCTGTCTGTGCAATCTCCTTTGCTAACCTTACCTGCCAACAAGATCACCTTGAAAGAACCACAGTCTGCTAGCTAAAAATGAATAATTTGTTTATTGTTGACCCTGCTGCTCCTTTATATGCTCTCTGTTGAGTACCCAGGGCATGTGATTTGGTTAGAACTCAACAAAATAATACATCCTGGTGCATGTTTATTCTCTCAGATAAAATACAAGTCTGACTTGAACTGGCTCAGAGGCATTGGCTGGACTCCCCCAGGCTCCCACAAAGTTGAAATGGCAAGAAGAGCTGCTGAACTGGCATACCTTCGGGAAATGGGATTGCTGCAGCCTTCTACTCAGTACAGACCTGGAGCTGTAAGTAGAGCAAACCATCTTGTCACAAATCCCCACAGCTCTGCTCCTTACCTGCACACATCCTGTCTAACACTTTTGAATGCTCCCTGGAGTCTACAGCTCTCCCTATTACCTGAACAGGATATGTGCACTTCTCTCGTGAAGCTTTGTGCCTTAGCGTACATCTTAATTTGAAGGAACCATTGAAGGGAATTCAGCAGTGTCGTGTCAGGATGTGTTTTCCCCAACTTGTGGATGATGTAAGATCTCCAAGTGTCCTAGTACCTCTGAGAAAAGCAGAAGCAGAGGTAGAAGGGACTCCCCATGCGACTCCCATGCTCTTTTCCTAATTTCATCAGGAACCACATGTTGCCATGTAATTCAGTGTTGCCATGTAATCTCCACTGGCGGCCATATTGACAGGCTGAGTGTAGGCTCCTGACAGATAATATGTGCTGTGGGAGGCTTGGTGCAAAGGGGCAATGCTCCAGCCTCCTCTGCCTCTGGCCACCCCAAGGTTAAAGATATTACAAGCAGGAATCTTCCAGGCTTTCCTTCTGTCACAGGGATGACTCCCAGTCTGCAGTGTCCCAGTCTGCAGTACAAGAGAGCAGAAATCCATACAGGAATCTCATAGCCCTTACAGTTAGGAACCATTCAGCTACAAGAAAAGAGAAGCACTGCACTTCAAACACTTTGATTGTTTAATTATTAACTTTGGTAAGAAATCCAGACTAAGAGAAACAATACATACCCATGATTTACATTCCCATCTGAAAAGTTACTCAGGAAATAAGTGAAAACTAAGGTTGAGTAATGGAGACAGTGGGAGCTACTGTTACTGAGATTAGTAGCAATATCTTCATAAGTCAAAGGTATGATAATGACGGTCCCAGGGAAACCTACAGGTGTGCAGTCCATGTGGAACTCAGGTGTTTGCTGGTTTGCTTCTTATTTCAAAATAGAAACCAGGACTTGAGCACATTTTGTCCTTTGGTATGTGAGGGATCTAACTTACATGAGCAGGTCCATTTTTTGCACTTCTCCACAGCAGAAATTCGCTCTCTGCAGAAGAGTGATTTAGATTTTCCTCTATTTTTTGCCAGTTGTGTAATTTTTAATCTGAAAATACTGTCATAGAATAATAGTTTAAGCCCTCCCCTCTCCACTGGCAGGTTTCACAATTTTTTGGATTGTGATTTTACAGGACCAGTTGGGGACAGAAGGATCTCAGCAAGCTGGAGTCAATCCTGATGCTTCAGAAATTCTGCAAGTCAAGAGAAGGCAAATGCAGCTTTATCAGAAGTAAACAGAAACATGACATAACATAAATAGATTTTCATCTTGTCCTGCAAATCCTGTAGCTTTTTCAGGTTTATGTGAAACACAATAGATGGCATTTAAGAATTTTTGTTTTAAGAGGTAACCAAAACATTGCAATTTATAACTGATCTTTTTAATTTTGTGTGGATACTTTGTGATTTCTCAGTGAATGTATTACAGATTCTGCTATTTATTTAAGGCTGTAAATGAAATTAGTACTGGCAGGCTCAGCTTTGTATCATGGATGGTGGAATACTAAATAATTTATAATGAATAAATCAGGTGACTCTTATTCCATGTTTGTAATTTTTGGAGATTTTTATGTTCCTGGAATATTGGCACCATTGACTAAGAGAGTACAAAAGCACAATTCATGTGGTTTAAGAGATGAACGAGTCAAAGGCCAGTGGGAGAAAAGTTACCACTGACTTTGCCAAAGGCAGGTCTTCTAGCAGGCTCAGGGAATCTGTTCTAGACTATCAGGCTGTATTCAGGTCACAATAAGTTCTTCAGTTTTTTTTCAAATCTTCCAAAGTGAAAAATCAGAATTACTCTTTGCAGCAGTACAAATTCAGAATTACTCTTTGCAGCTATTGAAAGATTAGGTAGCTGCTTAGAGAAGGTTGTAAACCTTGGAATTCAATCACTATTTTAAGAAATTGACTCTTCACAAACAAGTCTGTTCTTTATATCCTCATTTAATACCAATCCCTGTTTTTCAAATTTCTGTGCCGAATCATTGGGCAAAAGTTACACAATCTGACAGGGACATCTTATGAGAACTCTCAAATTATCCAGTGACTTTAGACAGATTTTTTAGTAGCATTTAGTACTACTAGCTCTCACTGGTTAAGGACATATAAACCATTGTAGATCTGGAGCATAGCATGTCATTATTCTCTAGTCAGGAATAAAGTGGGTAATTCTAGTACGGAAAGTTTGTTTGGCTTATCGATATGAAATACATCACTAATAAAATTTGTAGTTATTTACCCACAAAGTGCTTTTAAAAATAATTGTCCTGACTGATCCTCTCTCCTCAGGAAATTCCAATGGCTGCAATCTTGCAAACTCAGCCCCATGGTGATTCTTATGTGTGTGAAAAATGGTACTGGCTTTAAGAGTACACACCGATAGCTTTGAGGTGTCAGGGTCCAATGAGTGGAGAAAAAACACACCTTAGACAGGAGCGTGAGGGGAAGAGGAAATATCTGGCAGCAGCTGAGCTGGGAGAATTTTCACAGCTTGAAAAGCAGATCTAGAAACATATCAGGGCCTTTCATTGTTTGGGGAAGAAATGGAGTAGCTTTACTTTCTGATCTGTTCAGCTAAAAAAAGTGGGCTTATAACAAAGCCCGCAACAGAAAAACTGTCTCTGACATTCTAGCTAACACTCATAAGGCTATTTTCAAGATGATGATGAAGGATATCCCATGCAGGTCATGAGAAAATATCAGCCATATTTTTTGTCCAAGATGAGGCATTTAGGGAATGAATAAAACCAGTAAACCTCTCAATCTTACTTACCATTTGTCGTTCCAAAGCTTTCTCCTACTGACGCGACCTTGATGAATACTGAATTACAGCATTAATCCAACTGGCAAATTTTGTCACCTGGGTATAAACTCCTGGCTTGTTTTTTAACCCACATCCCTCTCCCCAGCTCACAAGGCCATAAGCGTAGTAGGAGCCATTTGCTACACAAGTCAGTGGACCTCCAGAGTCTCCCTGAGGAAGGAAAGCACGCATGTTCAAAGCATGAAGCAAAATAGTAACCAAAATCAGAATGCTTCTCTCATCACAAGACTTTGAAGCTGTAATGATGGGGTTTTTTTTCTGACAGATGTACCATCAGATGCTGCTTAGCCCCTAAGTGGACTTGCAGTTCTGTGACCAGGTCAAATGATACCAGACTTTTTGGCTGTAAGTTTTAATTTTTTTCTAGTCTGTGACATAAATCTGACAAGGTCACATGAAATTTCCCAGGCGTGAAAGTACCAGGAATTCAGAGCCTGAACTCAGAAAGATAAAGATGGGATCCCTGGCATTAATGAAAACTCAAGCTGTCTCACACTCCTCAAAATAGCCTGAGTTGCTTACTTGCATTTTTTTTGTTTTGTTTCTGATTTCTCTTGCAAAATATGCTTTACAGTGGTAATTTTCACCTTAGGAAGTGTTGTCCAAACTGTTTCCTACCTTTCAATGGTATAAGTATGAACTTGTTTCACATTTGTGTTAGCTGTAATAAAAAGAAACATCAATACTGACTCCTTGCAATCTTAGCTCTGATAGTGAAAATCAGATTAGAATTGGCAGTCAAGGTAGAGGCCATAACAAAACTGAGGAAAAACAAATAGAGCAAGTTTTCATGTTATTATGACAAACTGCCTCAGAAGTCTCTTGATTCCACAGATCTGCCTGTAGGTGACACTGGCAATATTAGCTCTAAGGATGTACAGCTCAAAGTGTATTGCACAAAGGCTGTTGAAATACGCTGATGTGAGAACAGGTACATATGCAGCACATTGCCAAAGTTCTGCACTGCCTGACCCTTTACACAAAAAAAATTAGAAAAAGCCACACACCTGACAAGAATCGATTCCGGGTTTCCGAAGACGTCCTGCACAAAACATGCTATCATCCAGTTTGTCTTGATGTAACTTGGGTTCATTGCATTTCCTCTGTGAAATCAGTCTGACATTGGCATCTAACAGCTGATTGGATGGGTCACCTATGGGATGTGCACCAAAAAAATGGAGTCACTTTCTTCTCATTCCTTTCATATTCAAAATTTGTCTTTTATTCAAAATACAAGCTTGCTGGGCAAAAAAATGGGATGGGGCAAGAGAAGGGGGGATGATGCATGTTCTAGCCTGGGAAGGAAAGAACTATCTGGCTGAAATAATGTGTTTCCGATGAGCTGGAGCCTGAAGTTTCACTCAGGACAGAGTTGTTGTCTAAATTAAAGTTAAGTCAGGTGTTCAGAATTTGGTTCCAATCAGCTCTCTCTGTGTAATCCTGCTTTTCCAAGGTGCTGGTTGTCTGCAGATCCCAGAGGTCCCCGTGGGACTTTGAGCTGCTCAGCGCTTCTCAGACTGGTTCTATTAGATGCTTTAACATGCAAGCTAATGAAACAGATGAAAACTGAAAATCATACAATATTTAAGGGCAATGATTAATTACAGTGAATCTAAAGACATAACTTGACATCTAAAGGCAATAGCCTTAGTTTCAAAGTACTACATCTGTAGATAATTAAAGGTGGTTTATAAGTTTGGTTCTGCTTGAGTTTCAGGAAATATTCCATTTCTGCAGTGATTTCCTGAAATGCTAATAATAGCTCTGCTCATAGAAGGAGCCATTTAGTTTGAACACGTACAGGGTACTTGATATTCTTTGTTGGGGGGAAAAGCCATAAAATCCCCCCTTATCCTTTTAAGAGTGACTTTATTTGGAACTTTAAAATAAGTCCATTAAATTCTGTTGGTGCATTCTGATCAAATGAACACACTTGTCTCTTGTGCACTTCAATGGGAGTTATGTGAAGGGAGAATTCAGTCCCATGGATTGTATCAGGCTGTTTCAGTCACTAAGCACTAGGACACCTACTGCAGCCTCAGTGACAGGTTTTCCTTCTGCTGCTTCACAGCAACACATCAGTCAGAACATGAGAAAATGCATCTTCCAGAAAATTGCCATTATCATTTTTTAAGCATAAAAATTTCTCCCCTTAGGATTTACCATGGGCAAGAAAGGTTTTTGGATAGAGCTGGTTGAACTTGAAAAGCTTGGAAATTTTTTTTATTTTTCAGTACATCTGAGGGTCCAGATGCTGCTTCCAAAAAGCTTTATCCTACCCAATGGGCTGGAAAACCATGTGAAAATTGCTGTCTTTCTTGGTACTGTCTCGAAACATACAAGCTATATGATAGCCTCTCTTGATACTTGCTTCTGTATCTGGCTTCAGATAAAACCATGACATGGAGAGTTGGATGGCAGGCTAAAAAATGCATCTGGCATCTTATCAGAACTCTAACAGGTTTGGTTGATTTAGCAGTTAGAGATTTCTGCTAATGAGTAATTTGCATGGCATGGTTTAGCTGAATTTATTTTTTCATTCCATGTCTTGGTTTCACCAGTGTCTATATCCTCATTTGTGTCTGGAAATTGCTACTGAAAGTAGCAGCCCACCTTGCCACTAGAGTACCCACCAAAATCCACTTAGCCCACAAATACCTGTCTCTGTGTCACCCCATCCAGCAATGAAGCAGGAAGTCCCAGCAGGAAGGAAGAAGTCTGGGAGACATGCTATTTTCACATACTTTGTTTCCACTGCACAGTAACCATCAACAGGCTGCAGTTTAAGCAGTGCTGGAGAGGAGATAAACAATAACAAAAATATTTGGAGTTAATTTTGATCCCTAACTATTGTTAGCAGTTGTTACCATGCCAAGCTGCATAAACCCAACATCCCATTTGCCCCCCTATGTTGGACCTGCTCCCATTGTTTGGCTCCTCCTGAGCAGTGACTTCTGCCTGCCCATCACAATTTACATCCCAAGATTCAAGCAGGTCAAAGTCAAAATTTGGCCTGATTATTTGTAGAGCATAGCATCAATAAGAATTTTACATTCACTTTGGTGGGAGAGAGGCACTTCAAGCAACAAAGGTTGGAGGTGAGCCATGTGAGTATCAAATAAAGGATTTACCAATATCATTGTATAGGGCACGACCCGCCTCCTCTCTGTATTTGCCATGTAAAATTACTTCCACTGCATCAAATATTTGCTCATGGTCCTCTTTCCTCTTGAGGTTTTGCTTGCCAAGGGCTACTTGGATCTTTGTTTCTAGGTTTCTGGGGAAAAAAAAAAAGTCATTTATGTACAGAAATTTTTTATCAGTGGGGGTGCAGTTTCAGTAACAGGAACTCAAGATATTTCTTTCTGTTGTAAAGCTTGGCCAGAAGATTTCCTAAAATCATTATAGGAAGGCTTAGATAAGAAAATAGTGATATTGGAAAATGCATGTTCTCTTAACTTGTTGCAGTTATGAAATAAAGTGATTTTAACCTGCAATCAGCTGTAATTAAGCTGATTTTCTTTGCCTTTTAGGGCAGAGTAGCAGTATGCACACAGTCTATTACTGTGGCAGTGATGACAAGGGGCAGCTCATGTAGCCATGGCAGTAGAGTTGCTTGCCAGTGTCTGAGTATATTTAAAATTATATTTGTTGAAATTATTTCCAGATAATTTCAATTCAAACAAATTTGTTGAATTGTTTCCTAGGGTGGTGGTTTCCAACTGATTCAATAAAAATGTTGGAGGAAATGTAGTATTCTAAGCTAGCTGACACAGAAAAAAATTAAAGCTACACACATATTTTGACTGTTTTGAAGAACTTAATTCTGATGTAATAGGTGACGTTGCTTATGGCATCCCAATATCTCCTGAGGTTTGCATAGAGTTCTTCTTTTACACATTGCAAAGTCTTCCTACTTTCCTCCTTTTTTCCTCTCACAAAACTTTTTTCAGCTCATTTTAAGTGGTGCCTAAGTTTGTTATTTCAGCAAGCACCATTTTCAAGTATATAACCATTTTTAGCATGTATTTTTTTTTCTGTCCGCGTATGTGTTTTTCCTTTCAATTTGACTCCCAGCAATCATTTTGATTGCAAATATTTTGGATACCAAGCTGCCTTTACTAGCCCTCCAGATTTTAATACATTTGTCTACCCTAATGATAGAACATGCACTTACTCAAGGCAGTGTGCAGCAGTAAGAACCCAGCATGATTTAATTAGCACTCCACCACAGAAATGTTTATTCCCATCTGGAGTCTGTATCTGCAGAGATGCCATCCAGGGATGTTTTCCAGGTGTAGCCTTGGATCCACCATAGATCTTCTTGAGTGTCCTACGAACTTCTGGTTGTCCACATGTTTGGAATACTTCAGGGGGGTCTGTAGGGGGTTCTGTTGGGGTCTCTTCAGCTGCATTGGAAGAGACCGCAGATGTATAATGCAGAGTTAATATCAGACTGGAAGAGTTAAGCAGCAGGGAGTCCCCTACTGCTCTAGACCACCTATGTGCTATCAAATCACTTGATTCTAATTCTTTACCTGCGCAGAGTGAAACATCACAGTATTCCCAATCCACTTCATTATTTTTCCTGATGTAGCACCAGGGTTTTTCATCCTCATCAGGATTCCTGAAGGGAACAGTTAAGAGAATCAGCCAGTAGGAATGGGGAAATCTCCATGAAACTAGTGAAGGAGCTGAGGATTCTAAGGGAGAAGCTTCATGTTCCCATATGGGAGATGAACAAAAGATAATATTTCATAAGATTGACACAGAAGATGCCTGAGCAAGGCATACAGTACTGCCATATTACTCCTGCCATGCCTACTCCCTATCTTAGCCATAAGAAAAATGTGAGACTGGTTCAAAACAAAGAGGGCAGCTTCTGGAAGCCTCATATCAGCATGGTTAGAGAAGGTATCTCTAACATTCTGGTGTTTTATGGGCAGACAGTGTCTAAAAAGATGTGAGATCTTAGACCATTAGTTTCTCATATTCATGAGCAGTTTGTCCTCAAGGACCTGTCTTGACACAGACCTCTACAGCTGCTTCTTCAAAATATTACCTGCAGAAGTTGTGTTCACCAATGCCATGTGTGTCAGCATCCTCCATAAAGGCATTAAAAGGATGGTCCAAGAGATGGTGGGAATTCCAGTGCAGGCAGGTCCTGCCATTTTCTGCTTGGTTCACTCTACCTCTGTAAGTAGAGGAGTCCTCTTCATAACAATCATTTGGTCCTGTAGAAAGACAATGACTGAAATGAACTTATGAAAATGACTTTTGTGTTGCTCCTTGCTCAAAGTGGTTCCTCTTCCTTCCCTTCCTTGTCCTACATTCATTTTATGGAGGATCAAAAGTACCTACTGGGCCAAGTAATTATGTTCCTTATTGTGAACCGGCCAGAAATTAGAATAATGTCCCAACATCTGTCCATCTTCTACCTTGACTGACTTCAAATGTCACCCATCAGAAGCAGTCCCCTCAGCCTGGGGAGTCACAGGCAAACGGGCAGGCATCTTCACTACATCAGATTTTGAATGTTTAAGGAAATCCTGACATTTCTTCTCCTTGTGATGTGTAACCTCTGAGGACCTCTGGACCTCACTACCCATGTACCAGTGGGACCTTGCCAAAGCATACTTAGAAAACACCAAGATGGGAACTCTTTGCCAGCAGTAGCTGCAGAAGTCAGCCTCTTCCTCTAACCCTCTCTCCAAGGTCCCCGGTGCCCGAATGCAGTCAGGCTCTTGGAGCAGTGACAGGAAGTCAGCACAGGATGCTAGAGGAATAGCATCAGATGGTCTGGCTGCAGGGGGAAGCAGCCCCTGCTCCCTGGAGGTTCACCCCTCCCCCTGAGGGGCTGTGACGCACCGATCTCGCAGAATCTCCCTCTGAAAGGTTCAGGGCACTTGCAGGTGAATTTTGATCTGTATCTGTTCCGTATGCAGGTGCCTCCATTTTTGCAAGGGTTTGGGCTGCACTGTTTGAATGCTGTCAATGTGGAAAACACAGAACAGCGTTGTCAATGTGCTGAACCCTACACAGACACTCACATGCCCAGTGGAAGCTGGGGAGAGCTCCCACTCAGCCTGTTGGCTTTAAGTTCTCATGAAATCTTGTAAAACACATATCTCTGGGGGTTTTACCAGCGACTGAACCACCACCCTGCAAATCAAGCATAACTCATCATTGGCCAGTGATGGATGGGAGCTGCAGCTTTACTAGGGCAGGATCACCCTCTGCAGTGAATGATTTCCCACTGCAGACTGGCCATGGTGCTGTCCCCACCACAATTTGTGCCCAGCTGAGTGCTCACCACGCCGGCAGGAGGGTCTTCTGTAGGGAGGCTTGCAGCTGCACTTAAAATAAGGTGGGGTTAATGTAATCAGGCAGTCCCCAAAGTGGCAGTTCTTCTCCAGACACATGTCCTCCACTGTGGAAAACACACATAAAGTACATCATCAGCATTTGTGTGTGCACAGGAGCTGTTCCCTTACAGGGATCACAGGAAGGTGCCTTCCTTTGATGCTCTAAGGAAGCTTTCATTTGGCAGATGTGGACTCTGGGTCTCACATCTTGTTCACAGCATCTATGGCAAAAAATCTGTGGTACCAGTGGGCAGCTCCCCACTTCCCATCTTGCAGGGCATAGAGGAGCACTCTCTGCACTCCTGAAGTTTATTTCACTGGATGCTCTTTAGACAGACTTTGGCCTGGATGAGGTCCTAAGAACTGTGGACATGACTGCTCTGGGCTGTCAGAGCACTCAGCTCAGCAAACAGCAGGTTTATAAAGTTTCAACAGTAGCATTATCTGCCAAAATGAGGAGTTTAGGTTAGCAAAAGAGCCATTACCTTTTTCACATGTAGTCCCACCATATGGCTTGGGGCAGTGACAGCTGAAGTCACTTCCCTTGGCTTCACACGTACCACCATTCTTGCAGGGGCTGGAGTAGCATGAGTCTGTAGAGGTAAGGATGGAGATCCTTCAGCATCTCAACCTTCATCACCTACTTTTTCTTCTTGCATTTTGTTGTTGTCAGAGTCTGTCTTCCTGGGCACAGCATCCTCTGTAACAAGTGCTGTGCTTGTGCATCAACTCAGCACCACAGGAGTGGTATGAGTTGCTGCAGAGTTTATTCCAAGCTGCAGTGGCTCATAGCTTTGGGTCTGGAGATCTTCTACTCCCCTATTACAGAGTTGTAATGGGGCAAGTCCCTTCCTTTGATCAGAGATAGATTTGTCTCTGTGGCATTGTCTCTGGACTGAGTCTGCCTTCATGGACTGAGTCTGGAGTGATGTGGATTTGGCAATGTCCTGTTTGGAACATAGCATTAAATCTCCTCTGGAAAAGCCATCCACTACCATTAGACTCTACCAAACCTCTGGGTGGCTCTTGCCTAAAGGGAGCTGGCACGTGCTAAAGTCACTCATGTGGTGCTCCTTATGTTGTGCTTAACATCTCCACTGCAGATCAGGAGCAATTGGTACTGGAGACAGCCCAAAGTCAGCTCTGCTGCTTTGTACCAGGGGATAACTGGGAGAGTGTTACAGGCAACTTCCCTGCCTCCCCTTTTGAGTCCCTTGAGCAATCTCTAGCATCCTTTCCTGTTCTCCTGAAGTTTAGCAAAACAAAAAAATGAAAATTAAATAAAACCTCTGCAACTGATAAAAGAAGAAAAAAAAAAAAAAGAAAAAACTTGCTCTACATTTGGTTCCTAGCATAAATACAGAACACATCCCATGAAAACAGCAATTACATCTTACAGTGTCTATAGACAAATAAGCCTGTGCTTTTTTGTAGTAGCAATCAGAAATGTTCTGCATGATCAGAATCCACCCTGTGAAACCTGGAGATAAAACACAGGATCCTTACAAGGGAAATACAAAGAAGAACATTGCAAACAATTCTCCTAACTCATCCCTTTGATGCAGGCATTTCGAGAGCAGGCTGGCAGCCAGGCCTGCCACACTCATGCTTCAAGCATAGGGTTGAGATTTTACCCCTTCCTTGCCTTCCTGCCCACCCCTGACAGGTACCTCTCCTGTAATCGAAGTCGCCTAAAGATGTCTCCATCCAGCTAAATTCCTCCGAGAGCTCCTGCTGGAGGTTGGTGTCCTGATTTGCTTCTGTATAGTAGTAATTCTCGTAGTTCTCATAGTCCTCAGTCTCATCTGCAGGGAGGGGTGAGAAGAGAGTGAAAGAACAGAGGATTAAAACTGGAACAGGAATTAAAATTGGAAGGAGACAAGTTGTGAAAGAAGTTATTCCTGAGATGGACAGTACTTTTCCCTTTCAGCTGATTTGGGATGTCAGCGGGTTTAGTAACCATCTTGAGGACCAAAGATGCTGTTCAGCTCTTCCTTGGCATAGGCAGAGCTCACCTGAGCACAGCTGGCCCCAGTGCTGCCCTCGAGGATGCTCCTGAGGCGCACTGGGGCTCTGGCTGCCCAGCTGGCTCCTGTGGTGACAGCCAGTATGCTCCAGAGGGAATGCAGGCCAGGCTCTCCAGGCAAAGGCGTAAGGAGTGTGGTACCACAGCCAGGGCTGACAATGAGGCTGGTACCAGCACAAAAAGAGATTTAAGCTCCTATAAGAAGAAGGGATTTTCTTTGTCCAACTGCTTTGCTGACCATCACCGCTGCTGCAGAGAATGAGGCAGGGCCTTCCCCAGCACGGAGGCCCTGCTGTGTGAGGGGACAGAGTCCCATCCCAAGAGCAACTGGGGGGACAGTCATCCACCTGCATGAGTTTGTGACTTCTGACCCACAAAGCGGCCTTTGACAGCGAGGGCCTGGCACTGCAGCCATGTGCTGTCTGAGGGGCCCGTCCCTGCCCCTGCAGCCGCGGCCTACAGGGGCCAGAGCCCTCATGGAGCCCGCGGGGAGCGCGGCTCTGCCAACCACACAGGGGGTGTTTGATTAAAGTGGACTGGCGGCTCCTGCCACAGGTACAGCTCTTGCCAGTGGAAGCCACTCCAGTGTTTCAAAGACAAGCTATGGTAATGAGCAAAGCTAAGCTACGTACAGAGACATTTTAAAAAGCTCTCCCCTAGGGCCGGACCGATGGCCCCATGGATAATGCTCTGCCTTGAACTGATTATCGACTGCATTATCTTAGTTTTCTCTCCTCATTCATTCACTTGCAGCCTTTATCTTTATTCTTTCTTTGCTTCTGAAAAAAAGAAATTCCACGTTTGTACAATGGGTGTTTTATATTTCATATTAAAATAGAACCGTCTTTTTTTCTTCTCTTTTTTTTTTTTTCCTACATGCCAACTCTCATTTCTCACAAAAAAAAAAAAAAAAAAATAGAGGAAAGTTTCACCTCATTTATTGCTATGTCAAGTCAAGACTCCTTTTCCTCAGCTCATTATTTCCACAGGAGCCGAGTCTCAACTATGTGCAAGTGTTGCAGAAGTGTACGCCTTGCTGAGGAACAGAAGGATCTTGCTGAAAGATAAGGACATTGTCTACACTGAAAAAAATTAAAATTAATGTGATGTAGTTAAGGAAGAAAAACAAAAAGGAAGTTTTGCCTGAAATGCAGCCTCCAAGTTCACTTTGTTGGAGAGGAGATTTTGCAAACGACTTGAGGTTGAGGGAACTGTCTGAAGTAGTCTGATTTTGTATCCCGTTTATTTTCAGAATCTTAGAGGGGCATTCTGGCTTTTATTCCACAGATGCTGTCTGAAGGATGGGGTATCCTTTTTTATGGAAAGATATACCTGCTTAAAGTTATGAAGGATGAACAGGGGAGCAATAGCTGCGAAACGCACAGTGCAAACATGCCACCATGCTTTACAGAGGACTCTCCTGAGTCAACAGAGGAAAAATTAGTGCCCTGAATGAGGAAAAATAGCTAAGCCATTGCAGAATCATCTATCCTGGTTTTTAAGCCAACTGCTCTGTGTGTGTTTTTAAGAAATGACACTACTGTCATTTGACTTTCGTTTGGCATGATTTCTAGCAACAGATTAATCATTTATTAAGAATACTTATGTAATCACTTGACAGGTTATGAATGATTTTTAAGCTCAGCTGTTCTGTAAACAAGATGGCCAAGATGTAATTCACAAGGTTTGGGGGCACAATCCCCCATGCGCACTGATGGGGCAGTTTTGGGAGAGGCTATAGCACACCTGCTGAGTTTGGCACCCAGCTGCCCTTGAAGAGGGCAGCTTCAGGTAGCCAGGGCCGAGATAAAACAGGCAACCCTGGGCAATCCCCTCAAGGGCTGGCAATTACCATTTCAAGAAATTTAATGGCCAAGGCATGGAGTTCAGGGTGCATGTGGAAAGGGCTCAGAAGACATGAGCAAAGCCTTTTGGGTACCCTGTCCCCCATGTGGATATGGGAGTCAGGAAGCTGAGGCTACTACCTAGGAGACCAGCCAAGGCGATGTAAGAGTGCAGCAGATCTGAGAAATGACCAGTGTCCCTGCTTTCCCCATTGCTATCCCTCTTCATGAAACTGAGAAACAGACTTAGCTCCTACAGGTCACATGAGTGATATTTCCCATCTCCCAGCTGCTCCAGCTGCATGAAGCAGTGAAAAACAAAGACCAGAAAACCCTCACTGGGGCATATGATATCAAACTAAGAGATGTCTTCTTATTTATCACTGTTTTGACACTAAATAACTATTTGGCTTCCACATCTCTTATTTAAGAAGTGCTCCCATTCCAAATTTTTAAATTATTCATAACAAGCCATAGGTTTAGTAAAGCAAAAACAACACTTTTTTTAATCTGAGCACATAATTAAAGCACAAAGTCTGATACACTGGTTGATTTAAACATATTACTAAATCAGAGTGTTCGTTCTTTGTAAGTGCTGGAAAACCTTAACATGCTTAAAAAAGCAGTGATCTGACATTTGTCACTGAAATGTGACTATTACATGAAATTAAATTAGACATCCTGCATGCAAATTTTCAAAGAATAACTTTCCTCTGTGTAGTACAAAAAATCCCCCCATAATTGATAGACAGAGATTGACTTTTAAAGCTTCAAATCAGCTTTGAGGTCTGGGTGATCTTTTAAACTGTGCAAGCTTTCATCTGCAGTTTTTCACATTGCCAAGAGCTGTCAATCAAGCGATGGATTTCTGATCAATATCCCCTTGTTCATTAGCTGACACGGGCTCTCTGTTACGGAGAGAACAGATACCCCAACGCCGACAGTCACACTGGTTTCAAAACCTTCCCTGGATCAAGTGATGACTAATGTTCCAAGTGGGAAAGTGATGCATTAGGATGCCATCGGGTGACCTGAATTGCGAGGTAACTTTGTTGGACTGCAGTTGTCAAGATGAGTGATGTGCAGAGTTAAAGCCTATTGCCAACACACATCAAGAGTGCCAGAAAGTACCCAGCATTTATTCAAGCTCTCTGAACCTCTGGAGACTGACTGAAATCTGGCCTAATTTAAGCAGGATGAGTTTTCCTACCAACCCCCTAAATACTTTTTGTCCCCAGCTCTGAGATTATTGCAGTGTTATTTTTATGAGGCTGAAATCCTGACTGTATTTTAAATAATGAGATATTCCCCATTTACTTCTGCAGAGATGAGACCTCACAGTATTTCCTCCCTTCCAAGCAGGCTGTGGCTGGGAGTAGCTGCAGCTTCAGAAAGAAGGGAGACCAGCTAACAACAAAGCCAGAAAGCCTTTCAAATAGTTTTGTGGCTGTTACTTAAAAGCAGTTTTGCAGCACTTTTTTCCTCAGAGGGATGGATGCGGGTGAAGGGGAAACGTGATGGCTGAAGGAGTGGAAACTTTAAGGGGGATGGGGAGAAGATTGTAGGAACACTGAGGGGACAGATGTAACGACCATACACCATAAGGCAGGGAATGAGTTAAAGAAATTGTTAAAGAGATAAGCTACCATCAAAAGGCAGATCAACCAGTTTGCACAAGGCTGTGTAAACCCTGAATCAAGTGCATGACTGTGGCCAAATATTTGCAGAGCCCAAATACTGAGCTCAGACATAAAAATGATTTGGAAATTTGTTTTCTACACACAAAACAGCAACATTGATTTGGGCACTGCTGTATGACAGATAAGATTTCTGGTTTGACCTGAAAGCCCAAATACCACTGAAATGAACAGGAATGCAGATGAATAATGAGGGTATACTAAAATTCACCATATTTTTTTGCAGGAAAATCAGCAAAATTATTGTGATATTTAATTAGATATGCATTATAAACTCAGCCATTGAAATCAAGAGAAGAAAGAGCAGGGCTTACCTGCAAAAATACTAAACTTATCAATAAAAACATAATCTTCTACATGGACCATGTAGGCTGTGAAAGGATATACAAATCCTCACACATCCTACACATTCTCACACAATATTCATCACAGCTTTTCCCTGATCAACATCTTAATGCGACACAGCCTTTAATGATTTTTACTTGCATGGGCTTGTCTCTGAATCTTCTAGCATTTGGGGCAAAGCCTTGCAGAGATAAGTTCCACAGTTAGTTGCATGCTGCAGGGGAAAGTCAGCCTTCATTTATTTGACCTCCGGTTTTGATCCCCAGCTATGGTCTTTGTTCATCCTTCTGTGAGGTTTGCAGCCCAGCACCATGACCTCTCCTCCAGACAATGGGCCACTGTCACCCACTGGTCCCCAAAGCCCAGGAAGGCAGAGAGTGGCAGAACAGTCATGGTTTGGGGCAGAATTGAGAATTGCAGGTGTGGTCCAGGAGAACCCTGGGATCAGCTGCACGTTGGCACTGCTGCTGTACCTCTGTTTTTGTTTGCAGTGTGTCAGACACACTCCTGGCTGGGACATGATGCACTGTTGTCTCCTGCAGCACACGTGAAGGTCTGAAAGCACCCACCATATTACCTTTCCAAAGTCAAACAGACTTTCTACTTGATCACAGACCATATTTTAAGCACAGCAAGGCTCTCCATGAAGTTAAAATAATTCAGCACTGGGGACTAGGAAAGGGTCTTGATGAACCAGGTTGCCAGCCTCTCAGTTTTGTGGCAGGCAGAAGTTGAAATGATGAAACTGAAACCACTTACCTTCCATCGTGTTGGCCCAGAGGGAAGAATGGGTAGCCTGCATGAGATAATAAAGGTTAGAGAGTCATTTTCTGGTTAAAACAGAAGCCAGCACAGAGCTTTGCTTACAGTACAAAGTTCTGTTTGCCCCTAATGTTGGACATCCAGATAAGGCTGTTCCCCCCCCACACTTTGGAGCTAACTGACCTAGATTTTTAGAGCTCTTTCTAAAGGGTAACAAAATGTCAACAACCCACTAGAGAGGTCTGGCTTTTCCAAGAATACCACCTAAGCTGCTGGGCTGATCTGATTTGGGGCAAACATGACCTGAATGGGTTAATTTTTCTCTTTGCTTTCGAGGTGGTGGCACACTGATTATTTGTCCAACTTCTCTGAGATGCTGGCAGAGGACACACTCCAGCTGGCTGCCAAAGCTGGAGGCTGGGAGGTGCTTGGGCATGGCAGAGTGGATGTTGGGCAGTGCAGCATGGCCCAGGACCTTACACCTGGTGCACCCAGTGGGACCTGGACCCCTGAGCTGGAAGGCTGTTAACAATCTTTGGATGTAGGAGAATATTTCTGGCACTCTCCAGGAGGAAATGCCATGTGTCCCACCTCCAACGTGGGGCTCCAGCCTTTCCTGTTTGGCTCATGATCAAGGGCAAGCAACAAAAGGGAACAGAAGAAGAAGGAAAACAGCTCTTAGCCTTTGAAGAGTGTGAGTGAGGTTTGTCTGAAAGGAAAGGCACTGACTTTACACCAGGACGCATCCCCAGCGTGACAATTTCCGTTTGCTTTTCCTCTTGCTCTAAATCCCAGCTGAGGACAGGATTACCTGCCTGCAGTGAGGATACACATCCTAACAGTGGGTGTGAAGGAGATTTGAAGTGCTATTCTTCATCCCTCACATAATTTTAGGGAGTAAAATACATTTCCAAACAATTGAACACACATAGCAAAGACAGCATACACATGCAATTATTATGTGCGCCTCTATATTGCTACAGATACAATTAGTTGTAAATATATGCCCTGTTTACTTGCACATTATACATTGAAGAAAGACATTCTCAGATAATGCTGGTTAAGACTAAGAACAAATGAATCAGAAGCAATGAATAAGAAACAAGACAAAATAAAAAGCTCAGAATTCACATTTGTGAATGTTTTCTGGAATATATAAATGAACTTTTGCTTCAGGCACCTTTGCATCCCTCTTGTGTTTGAGCCAGGGAGAACAGAAACTTCAGTTCTCCCCTTCCCCACTGACTTTAATGAGAGCAATGTCCCCTGAACCCCTCAGCAGAGCCCCTTCCCAGGTGCATTTGAGTGAGCCACACACATACAGAACTAAATCCTTTGCAGCTGGAAGGACACACATCCTCACACAATTGCCCCTCCTGAATGATTGTGGAGATGATGGTAAATGAGAAGGCTGTAAAAGCTCTGTCCTTGGTGTATATGTTTCTTGAGTGCAGGTACAGCATTCGTCAGATCCTTTGCCAGACCCCAATGGAGACCACATAAAGCAAAGGTCTAATTGCTCCATTTACAATTAGTGATAGCATTCATCCATAAACACAGACCAAAACAAACTCTGCAAGTGTACTCTTCTCTTTTGGAGGAACAGATGAAACAAAGAACAAGGAAGCAGCACTGGGAGCAGGCTGATGCAAGAAACATTTCATCTCACTCTCCAGCTCTCTGTGCTGCCCTGCTGTCATGTTTGCCTTATGGGGTTGGAAAGGGTTTGGCTCTGAAAGGTTTGACTGAGTGAGCTTGTCCCTGCACTGGGGGCAGCCCTTGGCATTCCAGGGAATGCTGAAGGGTTTCAGCCCAGGCTGAGTGAGATACACCAGGCTGTTCTGTGCCTCAGTTTCCCCAGCTATAGGGTGGAGATCACTTTCACAATGCTCATACCCTGAGGAAATAGGAAAGATGAGAGATGATGCAGCATTTTGCTACACTACTTTCTTTCCCAGGCTATTCACCTGCTGCTCTGTCCAAACATGGGTAGAGATGACCACAGAAATGTAGGTACCCTAAACTCTTTCTCACAATAAAGTGGTGCCCTCATCAATGTGCAGGTTTACACTATCACACTTCAGAGCAGGCAATGGTTTGGTGGCTGGTGACTGAGTCTCAGAATTTGATTCCTGCTTTTGGATGAAAGCACTCTGCTGCCACAATATAAATATTACTGGGAACAAAGGCTTCTGGAGCACTCAGCATAGAGTCCAGGAGTCAAACACAATCTTTACTGAAGGCTCCTGCATCTCCTTTTGTGCTGCAGCTCTCCCTCCTCGTGTGCCTGTCACAAGCTGCAGCAGCAGAGCCACAGGGGACAAAACCTCTGTCAGAGCTGACTTCTCAGCATGGAGAATTTTCTCCTCTGTCCTGGGGTCCCCTGGACCACTCACCAGCCCACACTGGTTTTGAAGCAATTTCACCCCTGCTAGCCAGGAGAGGGCCAAATTTTCACTTTTTGACTCATGGCCTGAAGCTTGCCATGGTGGTGTGCAGCAGAGGAGGAGGAAGAGCTCACTCCTTCCCTCCTGTGTACTGGAGCTCTCCCCTTCATCCCCTCCAGGAGAGGATGTGGGATGCAAGATGGGGGATGCAGGATGGGGATGCAGGATGTTAGAGATGGATACAGAAGAAGAAGGGGTGCAGAGGGTGGGGGTTCAGGAGGGGGCTGCAGGAGGGAGGCAGGCAGGGGCAGAGCAGGCAGGGCCTCCTGCCTGCAGTGCCGTATTGCTCGTGGCCAGCAGAGGAGGATCTTGTCCTTCCGACGAGGTGCAACACTGAGTCCAAGGAGGAGCAGGATTTGAACAAAAGAAAGGGGGGCGGGGGGAGAAGAAATTAGACCGTGGGCTGGTTTCACCAAACGGTCTCCTTGCTGCAGCTCGACACCGATACTTTGTGTGCTCTCTCAAGAGGGAATAAAATCACTGGATTCTGTTCTTAGCAGTTCTGCAGTGATGTGGGACAGAGCTGGAAGAATTTGCAGAGAGCAATTTTAAATTTTACTACTTCAGGCTCATAAAAAAGAAACTCTACCAAAAAAAAAAAAATCAAAAACCCCCAAACAGTAAAAAGAAAAAAAAAAAAGAAAGGACATTTTACATAGGTACAGTGCACTGCTAACTATGGAGCCAACTACATTTATGGGTCTCCTAGAAAAAAAATCGTGAAATTCAAAATATCCTAATTTCACCTGGCCTTTGTTGTATTTTGTCACTGTAAAGATTAGCACTTCACTAAAAGTTCATTTCTTCAAAAAGAAACTTCAAAATTTTGCTAAATAGATTTTGTACTAATTACATTGCACATACATGATACATGCAATGTTTCCATTTCAACTCCTAAAGAAAGAGAGGCCAATGAAATGTAATAGATTCAAATAGGAATGACAGAACCATGAGCTTTCTTTATCTCAGGATGGAATCCTATGGCTCTTTCTCAGACAAAAATGTCCAGTTAATCTCTAGCAATTCTTTCTGAAGAAACCCAGGAAGATTTGGCCCCAAATTCAAGGGAAGTTATTTATGGCTGCCAGGGCCATTCTGCAATTGAACTGTTTATTGTGTCTTGGGTACATTGCTACCTCTTATTGCAGTAAAAATGAATCACTAAAACACAAAAGCAGGTGGAGAAGCAGAGCAAAAAGGTGACAACCCAGGGTTATGATGTGAATTTATATGTTTGCAAAATAGACTTCCAGAGAAAACAGTGAAATCACTCAAGCTTGCATGACAGAGTAGCAAGAGAGACAAAAATTAGCTCTATACATACACAGACACCGCAACAAAGCACTACAGGAATTCCAGTATGAAACTGCATTGGTAGGAATTGGCTTATTCACTCAATTGCATTAAGTCCTGCAAATTCTCCTGCAACTTGTCATGAACTGGCCTCTGTGGCAGAAAAACAAAGATTATGCTTTCATTTGTTCATCTGTGCAGTCACAGCTTTGCAGCCATGAAGGAGGTGGGATGGGATTGAACTGGAGAATGAAGATGGATATTTGATCAACTTCCATCCACAAGTGACACAAGCCATGAAGGAGCCACGAGGGCAGACACAGCTACTGCCTTCTCGTAGTGAACCCCTTGATCCTGCTGACAGCTCTCAGTAGGAACCTTTGTCTGGGCTGCTTGCCAAAGGAGGAGGGAATCGACAGTTCTGATGCTCTTACAATCGGCCAGATTTTTGCCTGCAACCATCTTGGGTAGTGACAGTCTTTGAACTTCAAGGGAAAGTGGCTTTTCCAGCAATGACATTGTATTTCTCAGCCAAGGCCATGGTTGCAGGATAATGAAAGCAGGGCATATTATCATCTGGAGCACACATGCAACACATGTTGTGTTTTTAGCCTGGGAAACCATTCTCTGAAAGGATTCCACCAAAGCCTCTGAGTTCTTCACTTCTAACAAGACATCTCCTGCCTCCACACTGAACTGCAATTTGTGCATCAGACTAAATGATGTGTTCTTTATCAACCAGTCCCAGAGTACCCAGAGAAGTTCACACTTAAAATCTTTATTTTGCTGATTATTTAGTGGTGAACCTTTCCCATGGTAGCTACTCATACAAAACCCACAGGGATCCAAAAAAAAAGCAAGACCCTTCAGAGGCACCGCTGAAACCAGCTTGATTCTCTGCTCAGGAGTTACCTGCTCCCATTTTCCAAGAGATCAAAGTTTCCAAATTAATCTTTGCTCTGTAAGTGGTGGCCTGGTAGCAGCTGGATGTTTTCAAAGCTCACTGGTGATTGAAGTGCACTCATGCTCCCAGGTGAAAAATGGGGTCAGCTTCGGATGCCACAGCACAGCGAAGCTACAAAATGTGTTTCGGGGGCTGCAGGAGCCAGCTAGTCACACTAACAGAGTGCCTGGGCTATCAAACACTCCTGCAGCCAGTCCTGGGAATGCAGGTTATACTGCTAGACTTAAAGCTTATGCAAAGTCATTAAGTCCCTTTAGTTACACGGGATATCAACCTGCACGCTGCAGGGCATAAGCTGATTGCCTTGGGGGGTCAGCGAGGAACGCTTCC